CCTACAAATCAATGAACATCCCAAAGTCTTTCCCATCTAGGATACACCAACATTTAAACAAAATACATAAAATCCAAAACCAGTGATCTCTTCCACTAGCAAAAAATTAGATACAATGCCCTCAAAGACTTTCCTTTCCTTTCCTTTCTCTCTGTATGGTCCAGAAAATGGCATCAGAAATAAGCCTACAAGATTATTACAATGATTATTGCAATCTCACCTGTAAACGATCTTCAATGGCAGTGACTCCAAGAACTTCAAGATCATGTTCCAATCTTTGGCAGGCCTCAGCAATTCTCCACTGCAGAAAAAGGTGATTTGAAGGCACCCAGATGTGTCAATGAGCCAACGTGGCTATATACCAAAAAGCCATTTTGGGTACAGTGCTCCAGATAATAATATTATATATAATAAACAAGACAAAAGTCAAGCCTTTTCTCCTTACCTCCCTATCAACCAAGGTACTACTAGCCTCTTTAAACACCAAGGACCAGTCTTGATATTCATCTTCATCCAGTTCACGCCACGCCAAGCATAGTGTACGAAGGCCTAACTGAGCATACTGTTCCACAGCTTCAATAAAAGTCCTTGTTTGCTGACCTGAATAAATTCTCATGCTATAAAATGCACAGACGAGATAGCAGATAATTCTTTTTTTCTTTGCTGAGATGCAACACAAGAGATTTATATCCGAGACTTGTACACAGATGTTAAGGAAAAATCAGAAGCCACTTAATGACTCCTGCATGATGCAATGTATCTATCTATGCATCAACTAGATAATCATATATAAGAAGCAAAAGTAGCTCATAATCATTAGGTTATAATCGTCATAGAGGCATTAAAGCAAACTGTAATATCAATAAGAAATCGAGAAATCTTAGAACCAAAATCTATAGCAAAAAATATAAAGCATAAACTGCTGGTAAGTAATAACAAAATGACATAAATCCTAAAGAAAATCAACTTGTAAATACATTGTAAATGGGTTGTGTCCCCTTGGCACTCTAACATCAATACAACTCCACACTTTTATTTTAAAAAAAAAATAAATACTAAAGAAAATCTGGACCAAGTTTTAAAGGATGAAAATTGAATTGAATTTTTTTTTATATTAAATAGATTTATTTCATAGGCCAAAGACTCAAGTGCACAAAAAATATAAAAGAATTTTTTTTTTTCCATAAAAGAAGTCATGAAACTCTATTTGTTAATGTTATTATTTTCTGAAATGAGGTCCTTGATAACTTGACAGAGATACTCATTTTTATGCAAATTTTATAGACCTAAATGACACTAAAACCAAAATAGATGAGAATAAAGAAAAATTCACAAAAATTATTTTAGTACAAAGAATAATAAGATCAATGTTTCAATACTCCTTAAAGACTAAAGGAGAAAGGATGAAAGCATGAAAAGAAAAAGGAAAATAAAAATGATATTATATAGGAAAAAATGAACACTAAAGAGATGAGTACATGACATTAAAAAGTCAAATTGGCAAGTAAAGAAGATGTTAATGATAATAAAAGAAAATGAAAATTAAAGAGATGATTCGATTCAGTGGTCATGAAATTTAAAAAGTCAAATTTGCAAGAGAAAAGTATCATGCATTAAGACCTTTTTCCGAAAAGTCCTCTGAACAACTACAGATTAAATAAAAGGGCTCACCAGCACTTGCATAAGGAAGAATTGCTTCATCTGCACCTTTTGACAAGAGGATAATCTTCCCATTCTGGGAATCTTTCACAACCACTGACATTCTTTTCCTATCAGAAGTAAACTCCAGAGTTTCCAATACTTCATATTGAATTATTGAAGAATTGAACCTAATCTCTGTGAAGTACTCAAACAGAGGAAATCACATCATCATCGTCCCCACTATCAAGGCTCCATACATTGAAGTCAAAAGGGATTGAGTTTTACCAAGTATATTTGCATTCCTATTGACAAAAACCATATGCATCTCAGCGGCAGCATGAACAAGGGCATCCTCATCCTGAGACTGTGCCTTGTATGAGATAGCTCCAGTTTTGCTACATAAAATAACAGAAGAAACAGAAAAACAAAATATTTAATGATGATGAAAGTGCATTGACCATAAACCCCAATCAAAGGCACACCATACTTTCTCCTGTAATCTCATTAGGTGACATCAAGGTATACCTAAGAAAATTAAAAAAAAAAGGAGAGAAGAAAGGAAAGGGGAAACAGAATCACCTTTGTACAGGTACAACAGTATTACATATTGCCATAACTGTAAGAAACCGGATAACATCAGGAGAGTTGCTGGCAATAGCATTGAGCAGTTGCACATCTGTACATTAACAGTACGGTTTATCAGAATCAAATATCATGTCTTGCTAAAAGATGTTATTAACAGATATAGAAGCAAAGAAATGAACCAGTAAACAAACAGCTTTAGACTTAACAAGCGCATCCACCAACTAAAAATATTTCATGCCAATTGTCTTAGGTGGCACACAAGCATCAAGGCCTACAAAATTACAGATCCACGCACCAAGGAGTTTCTGAATTAAAGGCTTTGGATTTGGTTTAAGAACTAAAAGGACAAAAGAAAGGACAAATCAATGATGCAGCAATATAAGAAAGGATAAGAGCTTAGTGCTGCATCGAATTGACAGAGAAATTGGGAATCAAACAATCTGATATGAATTCATCCACTACCTATTAGAATAACCAATACATATCAAGGACCACAAACATGATGTTTTTGCTTAAGAGTTCAAAACAACTAGGAAGAAATTTATGTTATGTAACTTTTCCAACTCAATTGCAAAAAGAAACATACTATAATATCATTTTGCATGTTTTGCATGCCAAACAGGTAACTCAAACTTCAAAGTTGAATGCCAAGATTCTCTATAATTGTTATTGACTCGAGTATACTCTTATTTAGTCTATCCCAGATTAGATCCCTAATTTATAGCTCTCCGTTTTATATCCTTGTATTGAGTGTTTTCTATCATAGAAAATAGGAGTAATTATTAGGTGTTCCATGAGCCCAGATGAGTTGACAAACTCTAAAATGTGATTAGTTTAGCTCACATATTTGTCAAGAAATTATGGAAACAAAGTTTAAAGAGCATCAATCATATTTATGAGGTCTTTCAACTCACTTGTGCTAGCACCTAATAATTTTTCATATAGGAGTAAGGATGTAAGTTATGAACAAACAATAAAGAATGCATCTTCTACTTCCCTTTCTCAGGTTCGGTCTTCTTTTCTCTGACTAACAACATTCAGTATGCAGAAAAAAGGCAGCCATTTGAATTAAGGTTCCCGCAAATTAAATCTTGGATTTTAAATAACAGAGCAGCAAAACCCTTGGTGACCTATTTTCTGTTGGAGGCAGCTCACTTTCTGCCAAATTAGAGATAAGAAGTTGAGAGTTCAGTAACAACTGAAGAATAGATGGCTTAGTACCCTAAATTTTTTGCTTACGGGTCATCCTCCTGTATATTTTGAGTCTTTTAGGAAGATTATTGGTATGGAGAACTAAGCTGAAAATAATTGTACATGTTCTTTTTGCATTTCTGGTACTTATACTAATACTACTCTACTACTTTTCACTTCAAAAAAAAAAAAGTAACAACTGAAAGAAAAGAAAGAAAGTTTAGCTCTTATTCCTTTGGTCATTTTTTCGGATGACCAGAAGGAAAAGAACAAGAAGGCCTTTGATGGTTACATTCCCTTCCTAAGTGATTTCGAACCTAAGTATTTTGATTTAGGCCATCCTATATCAAGTTGTGTGATCTAGGAGGACCTAATAGACTTTTGACTCGTACCTATATATGTTCTTATTCCTTAGATGGGTGGCTCCTTGTTCCTTCTTAAACAATCTTATACTTTTTCTAAGTAGAGAAGTCAGAGCAGAAAACTGATGATTCACGTAAAGTAAGGAATAAGATCAAAACATTTTTCAGTGGATGGTCCTCCCAGTCTCAACAAATATATTTGCTTAAGAAAGAACCATGGCCACCTTGGTTGAAAAGAAACCATCGGATTTTTGATAATCGTTCTTCCCCGTTATAGGAGAAGATGACCTTTTTTGGCATCCTTATGGGCCAAGGCTAACAGAAAAGTTTCTGATTTCTTTCTTACTGACCTCCACAGGAATTGGAAAGCAATAATCCCGTGATAACCTGTCATTCCATTTTGTTCTCTGTGCTGCTACTTATGTTCTTTCTTTTATTTTGAAGCATTTTCAGTTGGATATCTTATCCACTGTTTTTGCATTTTTCTCTCTTTTCTTGATGCTATCAAAAAGAGAGAACCATGGCCAACCATGCCTTAGATATGTTCTGAAAGCAATGCCTAACTTTTGTGAGCAGGAAACTCAAACTTCTCAACAAAATGCATTCGGAGGTATATATATAACAGATATCTCAATTGTTTAAGATGTCATAGAATGCTTCAAATTGCTGAAGATTAATGAGTTCACCCAAATTAATGAACATGTCTGAAATGCAACAAGTGACAAGCTGAGACAAAGCAACAAAGAAGAAAATCATGAAATAATAAATCAAACCTTTCAGTGCGTCACCACTCTCATTGCCGTAAAAAAGGCCACTGATACAGCATCTTCTAAAAATCATTTTGTTTTCGGTTAGAGTTCCAGTTTTATCAGTCAAGATGTACTCAACTTGTCCTAGGTCCTCACTTATTGCTGTGCTGCCACATTCAAAATACATCTCTTAAACATATTGATGAGATAACTTCATACTCACGACTTAAATCAAAAGGTACCCTTTCTTTATATTTCAGTTTTTTTCACTCACTTTGTAGCATGAGAAGAAGTATCAGTCTCTTGATCTATCATCTCAACATCCCAATCAATAAACTTTGCATATAAACTCTTTACCAGATCTAGAGACACCTGTTACAAAGCATTCTAGTTGCTTACACACAGAACCAAGGCAGATCCTTATAAAGTTATAATTGATATTCTCAAAAAAAAATGAACAATAAGATAAACCAATCTAGGATAACCAAGCCAAAAATAAACAGGAACTAAGGTTGAAATGTTGAGACTATCCGTGGTGAAAAGTACATCAGCTAAGCATAATTTTTACCCCTCAATCTCTCTCCCCTATCTCAAAGAAAGGAGGAAACTCAGGGAAGAGAACAAGCAATTAAGCTCCGCGACACTGCATCAATCTAGTTTTCAGCAAGATTCCAACATTCTACTTATAGGTCATATCAAATTCTTTTCTTGTAAGCCTCCACAGCATTTAGATCAACAAACGAGAAAAATTTTCAGCAAATACAAGTTCAACTACTTCTAGGTTCACAAACTGTGGATTTGGGCCTACAACTTAATTTTCATTTGAGCCTCGACCTTTTCATAAGTTTATCAAGAAAACTCTATGTTTAATCTCTAAAAAAGCCTACTTCTATCCTTTCACCTAATTCTATGTTTACTCCCTCAAAATCCCTCTTCTTTCAGCTAAGAGGATTACTCTGTCAAATCATCTCTGCTCCATTCTTTGGACGGGATATACTTTTTTTTTTGGAGGGAAATAGGAGGCATAATTGGTCTATGTTTACATAAAGAGAGGTAATCTCCTCCATTTCCATAACCCCAAAGCCCCTAAGATGGGGAGAGATTCAATATCAAAGCCTGGCACATGTATAGGCCTCAGAATAAAGCTTCATGTAATAAATAATGATATTCAGCTAGGTAATAGAAACTGTACTGCAGATAATTTAAAATTATAGAGATGTATAGAAAATTACCTTTATAGATATTGGTATCATGATGGAACACAAAAGTTCAAACCGTAAAGGGATGACCAATAGTTCATACCATGGATCTTTCTGTGGATATAAAACATACCATTGCTGCAAAAGTACCCAAGCCAGTTGACATATTTTAGAATTTTTCTCCAGCTCATAAAAAAGATAAAACTCAAAGATTCATGTGAAGCTAAATAACAAGAACATGACAGGCAAATCAATTCATCGCACAGGGAAATGTGGTAAAAGTGGCGAAAGAATCAACAAAATTTATACATGATGTGACCTTTCAGCTATAGGTAATTATCATTGATGAGCTTTATAAGGTGCTTCTTCCTATATGACTTGAAACATTCACCAGCTTGAGAGAGAGTGTCAAGAAGTCTTGTATATTAATTTAGAGTGTGGATTAAGTAGGACAGAGGGTATAATTGTAATATACCCCTTCTTTGTAGTCTTCGTAATCAATTGAATTTTCTTGTAAGGTTACTAGTAACTTGTATATACGGGATCTTAATACTCATAAAGTACACAATTCATTCCTCCAAATCATTTTCTTCATTTTTAAACAATGGAGCCAATATTAGGTGTTCTATCAGCCTAATCTAGACATCTTAAGTATGATGAGTTAAATACGATGGATAAGGCATTTGTTGAAGGAGGTTCTACTGAGGACGAAATCATGCAACCTTGTTTAAGGGTAACAATGGTAAGGCTCATGACTCAAATTCTTTTTCTATAGTACTTCTCTAAAGCAATTTGAATTAATTAAGGGTGATATATTCAGAATATTTGAGAATTTCTACACTTGTGGGAGATATGTGGCTAGCCTCAACTCAACTTTTTTGGTTCTCCTCCCTAAATTCAGAACACTTTGGATGTAAAAGACTTTAGACCCATTAATCTTGCTAGCTTTGTCTATAAATTCATTGCTTTAGTCTTAATCCTCATATTAAATAAGGTGGAAGGGCAACAGCAAGCTTTTAAGGATGGGCAATAAATTTTTAATCATACTCTTGTGGCCAGCGAAATGATAATGTTGCTCAAAAAAAGGATAATTATGGGTTGTAAGCTAAACATTCAGAAGATTTATGACTATGTTTCTTGAAATTTTCTTATTTGTCTCTAGAACCACATTATCTTCGAGAATAGATGTTGCAATGCATATGTTTAACTACTCTATGGAATCATACTAAAGGAAGCCCTTTCAATTTCTTAAAGTTCTCGAGGGCAAAATCCAGGGGCAAAGACAAGAATATCCCCAAAAATTTGTTCCCAAATCTCAGCATTAACAACAATGAGAACTCTCAAGTGCTCTCACATATCTTGTTCACTAACAACTCCCTTTTTCAGTATACCAAATTGGGGTCCTTGTATGTTCGATGCCTTTTACTTTGTTTTGAATTTTTTTTTGGCTGAAGAAAATAAAAACTGGTTAGCATCAGTCAGGGCGCAGGTGGAAGAGCATCTGAAAGCCAACCAAAACCGCCAAGACCACTACCTCTACCATTAAGCAGCCAGGAACAAAGGGAAGGTCAATCATGGTCGACACTCAAATGGGAGACTCTCTGCGCAGCATAGAACAAAGAATGCAGGATTTACTGTCTGAAATCTACAAGTCCATTGATGACAAGTTTGAGGCTAAGTTGGATACTAAGTTGACAGAAAACAGCGCCTGCTTCAGCTTATTGTAGCAGACACCATGAGTTCCATCATGAACAATTCATTCTACCAACCAAAACCCAACCTTTTCCCAACCACCAAGCCAAAATCCTCAAGCTCAAAACTTTCCCTGGTCCCAAATGTCCGGAGGCCTACTACCCACTCCTGGAGTAAGAGAACCATGAGCGAGCAACCATTCCCCAACTTCCTTGTCCCATATCTTGGGGGCAAACACACCAAGGATTGACATTCCTCTCGTTGAAGTAACCTCAGCTCTTAGGCGAGAAGATGCAAAAGATAGTCCAAGTTTATGGAGTTGCTGATGATAAAAAAGTGGAGGTGGTCACCCTGTAAGGTGGAGAGAAACCAGATACCAGGTTTAAAAGGTGGCGAGCACAACAAGGAGAGATGGATCGGGAGGGCTTTGAAGAACTTTATAAGAGATTTGGAGACCCCACTGTAGCTGATGTTGTGGAAGAGTTCAACAAACTGAAGTAAGAGAGTTCTTGATGGAGTGCCAAGAGAGATTTGAAGAGTTAAGGTTAGCCACGTTAAAAGAAAACACTCACTTCAATGAATCTTACTTCATATCTTCCTTCCTTAGTGGTCTAAGTGAAAGGTGAAGACCCATAATCAAGATTTTTAGACCATAAACCCTATATCTGGCATATGAACAAGCTCAACTCCAATCTCATTGAAGCAATGTTAGGGCGTTAAAAGAATCAAAACAAACTTTTTGCCATTAGTTTCAACCACCCTACGTTGACTCAACGATTCCACAAGGAACCAAGTCCCCGTCACCACTAAGTTCTAAATTAGACCAACAATGGGGGTTTCCTAGACAACAAGAGGACACAAACCTTTGTTATAGATGCATCGGGTGCTACTTCCAAGGTCACAAATGTAAGACCAAACAACTATTCGTGACGGAGATGATGGAGGAGAAAGAAGAAGAGATAAAAATAAAAAAACAAAATGCAAGAGATGATTTCCAAACTTAAACCTTGAGGACAAGGTTTTTTCAAAGTAGAGATAAATGTCAAGAACCAACCTTGTAGCAAGGAAGGAAAAAAATAAAATAACATTGAATTTCTGTTAAGATAACTAATTTTGTTAGGTTTTATTTTGTTGCTTTTGTAGTGGAATAGTACTATAGTACTATGGTACAGCCACCATGGTGACCGGTTGTACCAATAGAGTAAAAGACACCTCTTTTTTTCTAAACAAAAAATATACGTATTATTAAATCATAGCACCAGGGGGATGCAATTCATGTACACAATTATTTTCAAATCAATTAATAAGTCAATAAAATCCCAAACTCATTAAAAGAAAGAATCGGGTGCCCCAGAACTGAAAGACCCAACACCTGGAGCCATCTATCTCTAATTCTACCTAGATCCTCTTTTATTCGTTCAAAAGCTATTTTATTTCTCTCCTTCCACACAAACCAAAAAATTATTAGAGAAATGAGTTCTACATGTTTCCTTCTTTTACTAATTCCTTTCTAATTTCATAGCTCATCCTTGACTGAATCCGCAATTGCTAGAGTAAAAGGCACCACTATTCTACCTATCAATGATAGTAGCACTATATGAATTGTAAGTGTAAGCAACAAACGACATGAATGATTAATATCCAAGATAGCTACTTTGGTTTGACTTCTTGAGGCTTTAGCAAGATGTTCTTACAATAATAGACTTCTTAAAATTAAACTTCCTAACATCTGTAAGATAGCTACTTTTAAGAAAGTGATAGTAAATGACAACTTTATGGATCATTACTACAATATGTCATGGAGCATCATACTTAACCACTTCCTTAATGATTAGAATTTGGACTAGATAGACTATCTTTTAACCACTCTTGACGCTTGATTCCAGAATAATGAGATATGAGATAGAGGACCAATATATAAAGGCTTTGGCTTTTCAAGAATGATAGTTTTTCGACCAAATCTTGTTCTTACATTCTAGGTGAATATTAGTTGTTGGATTGTTTTCCTTCAAAACTTATTTAGAAAAGAAGGGCCTCCTTGCATGTGCCATTTTTTACTTCGAAGGTTGCATACTTACCATCCAAAATCAATAGGGATCCCTTCAGCTTAAGAAAATGAATCCCTTGTTGTCTCTTCTGCAATAATAGGCAAAGCAAAAGAAGAAAGAGAAAAAAAGAAAGTGGAATATCACAATCAACAAGCCCCAACAAAGAGAAGAAATCGAGGTTGATCTCCTTAGGCATTTTTAATTAATTTGGTTTAACTAGGAAAAAATGTTTTATGTTGGGAGACTGTCATATACAAAATAGATATGGAGAAAGCTTATGATCATGTAATTGGAGCTTTCTTGATTATAATTTTGAAGCGACTGCGCTTTGAGGACAAATGACGCAAATGAATCAATTCGTGCATCTTTACGACTTCTTTTGTTGTTATGGTAATAAGAATCCATCATCTTTCTTCAAAGTCTCCAAGAGTCTTAGACAAGATGATCTCGTCCCCTTTACTATTTATCATTGTAACGGAAGCTCTCATAAAATGCTTTTGAAGACCAGAGACCTTGAGATGCTTAAGGGATTAAAGGTAGATGATAATGAGCATATGGAAAAGGTAACTCATTTATTTTTGCTGATGATATTTTATTATTCTGTAAACCGAATTAGAGAACTCTTTTTAACTTCATATACATTTTATTAAGTTTCCAAGTGATTTCTAGCCTCAATATTAACTTCATATGCATTTTATTGAGTTTCCAAGTGATTTATGGCCTCAACATTAACCTAACCAAGTCTGAATTGGTGGGATTGGGTGATGGGAGGGATGTTAATATGTTAGATTTTGGGATACAGGAGTATGGACCTTAATCAAATATCTAGAGCTCCTATTAGGTGCTAAATATGAAGATATGACAACTTAGGACTCAGTGGTAAAGAGATATGAAAAGAGATTAGCTGGATGGAAGAGAAACTTTCTATTTAGAGGGACAGACTTACAGTTATAAGAGCACTATGGCTGACATTCCCATCTATTACATGTTCTTATTGACAGTCCCGGTCCGTGATGCCAAGATATTGAGATAAATCCAATGTAGATTTCTAGATAGAGACACAGAGGACAGAAGACATTATCATATTGTAGCATGGAATAAGGTCAAAAAGTCTATACATAAAGGTAGTTTGGGTTTGAGATCTTTCGTAAAGGTTAATATAGCTCTTAAGGAGAAAGGGCTTCAATGATTTATGAATGAAAATGGTAGTCTCTGGTGGAGGGTGGTCGAGATGAAGTTTGGGACCATGGACAGAGGATGGTCCACTAGGCTCTCATCTAGATCCCATGAGAATGTGATATTTAAAAAAATTTGTATGGACAAGAGTAATTTCCAAAACTATATCAACTAGAGGATTGGCACTGGGGATAGAATGAGCCTATGTTATGATGCTTGATTGGAGGGTGAAAAACTCAGAGATCAGTCCCCACGAATCTACTATTGCTTGGCACAAGAGTGTCTTGATTCATGGGTCCTATAGTGGCACCGTAGAGGAGAAAGAGCGGACAACAGAGGTCACGAAAAATCTCAATGAATGGGAAGTTAGGGAGTATGAAGCTCTTATTTTAACCCTTACAAGGGTTACAGTTAATGGAAGCAGAGACCAATTAATTTGGAGGCTCAATGCTAGAGAGACTTTTTCTGTCAATTTTTTTACAATTATTTGACTAAAAAAGAAGCCACATGTACTAATTTTCCATTTCGGCAAATCTGCAAGGTTAATGCTCCACTTAGAATTGCATTTCTTTTTCCTTTTTTGCTTGGGAGGCTAGTAGAGGTTCTATTTTGACTCTAAACAAGCTAATTAGGAGGGCAAAATTTTGGCGAATGGCTGTTTCTTATGCAAAAGGAAGGAGTCATGTAACCATGTCCTACTGTAGTGTCCTTTTGTATATAAATTGTGGACCCTTACTTATGGACTCTTTGGTATCAATTGGGTGATGGTTGGTTTAGTGGGAAAAGAAATTTGTATGTTGAAAGGCATTAATGGCATGAAGAAACATGTTAGTTTCATTCCCCTTACTACTTTTTGAGTGATGTGAAAAGATGATTTTGATTTTATAAAAGATATATGGTTGCAAACCTCAAGTTTTTTTATTATAGGTCATCCTCTCTATTTTCTTGGGAACTTTAGGAATCTTATTGACATTTTGATCAATATATAAAAAATATTGTACATGGATTTACACCTCATGATGCATATGAATAAGTCATATCATACTATTTTTATTTTAAAAAAAGTTTATTTATATTGGGAGTTTATTTTCGAATAAGGTAGAGTGAGAATGGATATTCTTAAATAGAAATTTAAATATTTAAAATTAAGAATTTAGTCTTTATGGACATTATCATTATTAGAAGTAGATTAGGAATTTTTTTTAATAGAAAAAGAATATTTTATTCAGAGAATAGGGTAAAAATTACAAAGACGATAATAGGACGTCTTCCTGATCTTGCAGACGAAAAAAAATCCTACCTAAGCATAAGTGAATAATTATATGATAACCTCTTAATTTCAATGGAGAACGGAAATGGCTATGTATTTGTATGTCTTAGCCCATAAGGTTGCTAAAAAAGTCATTCTCTCTCATAGCTCATGGAAATATGTATGTCGCTTATCGAAGATTCACTGGTTCCTTGCAAGCCATAGTGTCCATAGACCAAGGAAAATGACACTTCACCAAAATGGTTTTCACCTCCTTTCTTACCCCGTCCCTTTATCTATCTACACAGGAAGCTCAACTATATGAGAAGTCACCCGATTTAGTTCAAACACACTGAACATTCTTGTACAAAGTCTTCTAAGCTACCTCACAGTGGAGGAATAAAATGGATCAGACATTCCTCCTCTAAAGCACATAACACAAATATCTAAAAACATCTAATTAGGATGACGGGTTTATAGCATCTTATTGGCATTGAGCATTTGATGCATGACTAAAAAAATTACATTAAAAAAATGCATGACTAAAAAAGTATACACCTTTAACTTTGACGGAACAGGTGCTTTCTAAAACACCTTGGCAATGTAAAACACCTTTCCAAAGGTGGGAGGCTTACTTTAATCAATAAGCACCCTGTCTAACCTCCCTATCTACTATCTCTCGGTGCTAACTATACCCAAGAAAGTTGCTAAGCAACTAGAGGTCATTCAATGTCGCTTTCTTTGAGGAGATGGTGACTCAAACAGAAAGATCCACCTGATTAAATGGGAGCAACTGAAAAAAATCAAAGAGAGATGGCGGATTAGGCATTAAATCCATTTCTAGCCTCAATAAAGCTTTACATAGTAAGTGTATTTTGAGGTTTTGGAATGAAGATAACAGTCTTTGGAAGAAAGTTATTACGTGCAAATGGTTTGGAAACAATGTGTATGACCCTACTATTTTGGAGAAGTTCAAGTTTGGTCTCAATCTATGGAAAAGTATTTGGAGTTCTAGTAAAATGATCCTAAATAACTCCAAATGGATTGTTGGAAAGGGTGACAAAATTCGGTTTTAGCATGATACTTGATGTGGGCAAATGAGCCTCCAAAGCCAATTTCCTCACATATTTGCTATCGCAAGAAACAAAGACATTCTTCTGGAAAATGCTTATGGAATCAGCTCCCCTCTGACTTGGAATGTGGCTGTCACTAGGAATTTGAAAGACTGGGAGGTTGAAGAATATGAAAATCTTCTCCAAATCCTTGAAAATTTTAAAATGAATACTGAACCTGATAAATTAAGTTGGAATCTAAGCAAAAATGACTTTTTTACTATCAAATTTCTATACAGAAACTTGATAAACAAAAATCACTCTACTGCTGTCTTCCCTTACAAAATCATATGGAATAGTTCTATTCCACCCAGAATTTCGGTGTTTGCATGAGAAGCAGCTAAGAACTCTATCTTCACACTTGACAACCTTATGAGAAGAGGTTTTATGTTGGCTAACTGGTGTGTCTTATGCAAGCAGAATATGGAATCTTGCAACCATCTTCTTCTTTTCTGCCCAGCATCCTACGAACTATGGATTATGGTATATAAGCTGCTTGGTGTCTCTTGGGTTATGGCCAGTTCGGTCAAAGGTGAATTGTTAGCTTGGAAAGGACTTACTTCGGGTAAAAGGTGGCATAGGATCATTTCTTTAACAATTCATTGGATTATTTGGAAATAAAGAAACTGTAGGATTTTTGACGGCAAAGAAATAAATTTTGTTTTTTATTAAGGATAGATGGCTTCACTTTTCTGGCTCCATCATCCTTGGTCACAACCTTAACTCCTTTGATGATCTTGGACACATTGTAAATATACTAACTGATCTGTAAATATTCTCTTTTGTATGTGGGTTCGCCCCCTCGACGCTCTTTTTAATATTATTACTCACTTTTATCTAAAAAAAAACGGTTTAATGGATGGTTTTTTATGAGTAGTCAAAGAAAGACTTGTTAGTGTATATCCTCGATGTGTTCTCTTGAGCTTACAAGCAATTTCTGTCCTCAATATCAACTTAATTAATTCTCAAATTGTGACTAGAGTGATGCTACTAGATCGGCAAAAAGCCATGGGATGCAAAAGTATGGAGTTGCCGATTAAATACTTAGGTATGGTTTTGGGGGCTAATTATAAAGATGCGAGGATATGGGACCTTGTTGTGGCAAGGTTCAAGAGAAGACTGGGGATGTTGCCAAGATATTTGACATATATGGGACCTTGTCTATCCAAAGGTTGGCAACTCACACTCATTAAAAGTACACTAATCAATGTTCCTATTTATTACATGTCCTTTATCACAATCTCAGTGAGTATTTCCGAAAGATTGGAATCAATTCAGTGTACATTCTTTTGAAATGATTTTTAGGATATCAGAAAATATCACTTGGTGACATGGGATGAGATAAAAAAAACCATTACATCAGGGTAGTTTGGGATTGAGATCTTTTGTAGAGATGAACCTAGCAGTATAGGGCAAGTGGTTTTGACGGTTCATGAAAGAAAATGACATTCTATAGCAGAGAGTCATAGAGGCAAAGTTTGGTACGGAGGATAGAGGATGGTATTTCAGAATATTGTCAGACCACATGGGAAGAGATGTGAAAAAATACACATGGGAAAGGATAAATGTCAGAATGCATCATATGGATGGTTGGCAATGGGGATAAATTAGTTTTTGGATGGACTCTTGGCTTCACGGGAGCACTCAAAATCATTACC